TTTTTTTTTTTCTGATGAGTTGTTTGAGCTTAGGAAAAGGAGCCATGGCAAAGGAAATCTCTTTATATGTAAAGCCAAAAAATGTGGACACATGGAAGGGGACAGGAGCAGAGAAAGGAGAGAGAGAGAGAGAGAAGGGAGAAACAGGTGACAGACGAGACATGAGGTTCTTCCTGGCAAAAAGCCATGAGATAAGTGCTGGGAGCCTGGGTGGCAAAAAGACCAGAGCTAATAGGAAGGTGTGATGTAGATTTGTATGTTTCTGTGCCATGAGATGATACTTTGCCCAGATTTTGGATGATTTTTTTGTGAAAACCAATGAGGAGACTGAGCTTCATATTTGGATCAGAGCAGGGCAGAGCTAAGAAGACACAAATAGAAACAAGTGCACAGATGGAGGGACCATGCAAATATATACCTCAGAAATTCACAGATCCTTTGGAAAGGTCTTTAGACCTCCCCCCATATGCTATAGATTGGGGATAGGGTTGGATTAAACCACTTTTACCTAGATCTCCAAGTTATAGAGTTATGTTTGAATGTACATAATAGAATAAAACAAAATAAATACAGTATAAACAAGTTGGAGTTCATTCATTCACTCATTTGTGTTTAGATTTTAAAAATCCAGGGGTAGACAGTTCAGAGTTGGTATGGTAGTCCCATGGTGTATTCAGGGACCTAAGCTTCTATTTTCCTGTCCAACCAGCCTAGAGCTGACTTTGTCCTTAAGGTCAGCTGAGGAGCCGGGCTCGGTGGCTCAGCCTGTAATCCCGCACCTTTAGGAGGCTGAGGTGAGTGGATTGCCTGAGCCCGCGGGTTCGAGACCCCCCTGGGCAGCGAGACCTCATCTCTACAATAAATCAAAGAATCAGCCGGGCGTGGTAGAGCATGCCCGTAATTCCGGCTACTCGGAAGGCTGAGACGGAAGGATCGCCGGCGCCCAGCAGGTCGAGGCTGCGGTGGCCGGGAGCGGCCACTGCACGCCAGTCTGGGCGACAGAGTGAGACTCCAACTCAAAAAAAAAAAAAGAGATCAGCTGAGTGTCTAAAATGACTGCTAGAGTTCAAGCCATCATGTCTGTGTTCTAGGCCTGAAATAGACGGAAGCAGAGGAAGGAGAGTAGAGCTCAATCTTCCTTTTTGAGTGACTCAGTTTCCCAGCATCTCTTGCAACTGAGATATAAGAGAAATGTTAAGAAAGACCTTTGGAACCGGGCTCGGTGGCTCTGCCTGTAATCCCGCGCCTTTGGGAGGCCAAGGTGAGTGGATTGCCTGAGCCCGCAGGTTCGAGACCCACCTGGGCAGGCGAGACCCCATCTCTACAATAAATCAAAAAAATAAGCCGGGCGGTAGCGTGCGCCTATAGTTCCAGCTACTTGGAAGGCTGAGGCGGAAGGATCGCTGGAGCCCAGCAGCGGCCACTGCACTCCAGTCTGGGCGACAGTGAGACTCCCACTCAAAAAGGAAGATAGAGCAGCTTGCTCCAGGGCACACCGCTACTAAGAGGTGAGGTCATGACATAGGTCCCCTCATCCTGAGCCCAGAGCTTTTTTAATTAGCCCACATGCATCCTTGGCATGGATTAAGTTACCATTTCCTTAGCAGAGAGAGCAGGAGCAGAAGAGAATGAGGTCAGAATTAATCAGCCCTGACGAGGGAGGAGAGGGTCTGGAGAGGGTCTGCAAAGGGTCTGGATTTGGCAGGTCAGAATCCGGGACTGCTGGGCAGACAGGAGCAACAAGAGGGCAGTGTAGACTTGGGCATTAGAAAGAGGAGGAGCCGGGTGGCTCAGCCTGTAATCCCTCACTTTGGGAGGCTGAGGTGAGTGGATTGCCTGAGCCCGCGGGTTCGAGACCGGCCTGGACAACTTGGCGAGACCTGATCTCCACAATAAATCAAAAAATTAGCTAGGCGTGGTAGCGCGCGTCTGTAGTTCTGGCTACTTGGAAGGCTGAGGCGGAAGGATCGCCGGAGCCCAGCAGGTAGAGGCTGCAGTGGCCGGGAGCAGCCACTGCACTCCAGTTTGGGCGACAGAGTGAGACTCCAACTCAGAAAAAAAAAAAAAAAAGAAAGGAAGCCTCAGACGAGTGGTGCCTTGGTGACAGCGCCAGTTTTTGCAGGATCTCCCACCACCCAGGTCTTTTTTTTTTTTTTTTTTTGATAATGAACTTGCTTTCAATGAGATGGTCCAGGCCAATGTAAGTCAAAAAATATTCAGGAAGCATATTCATACTGAACAAGCCAGAACCATAGGTGCAGCATTTGGGAATCCTAAACCCTCGACTTCCTGCGGCAGAAGGGAAAGCAGTGGTTTGAACCAACACTCTCGGAGTAAAGTTACAAAGTTCTTCAAGGAAAAAATCTCATTCTCAAGAGCAGATTTGGAGAAAATCAAAATGAGAGTGTCTCATAAGTGGGCCCTTAAAATTGGGCGCAAGAGCACAAAGGGGGAAACAACTTACACTGGGCATTACTTGCAGGGGGGAGGGAGGAAAGAGTAGGGAGGATAGTGGGCACACAAGCACCACTGGGTACCATGTCTGCCACCAGGGAGAGTTTACTTATGTAGCAGATCCTCACATGTATCCCACAACTCTAAAATTAAAATTTTTTGAAAATTGGAGCATCTGACAGGGGGCCTGTAGGAACATCACACAGGGTCCAACCAGCTGTGATAAGCCAGAGGTGGGTCCAGAGCCTTTCAGCAGGTTGTTCAGAGATCCTGTCATTTGCACTCAGCACTCAATGAACTAAGTCAGAACTGTCAGGGACAATGAGACCAGTCAGTCTGAGAGGCATCTGTGCAAGTGGGAGAGACTCCCAAACTTGGTGGCACAGAGAGGGAGGTTTTGTTTAGTGGTGTATGCACACATCCTTTGTTTTAGCATTGGTTGACAAACCACTTCCTAATATCTGTATTCTTCTTTTGACCTTACCCAGCAGAAACTTGCCCTCCAAGCATGAAAATCACTTCCATTTGCTGAAAACCTACTATGTGCCAGGTACTACCATGCATACCCCTACACAGTAGATCATCTCACCTCCCTTTTCCAGATAAGGAGTCTCACCTCTGGAAACAGTAAGGAACTTGCTCAATGCTACGCAATTGAGTCAGTGACACCCATGGGGACCAACCCCAAAGCCTGAACATGCCAGATTGTTTCAGGACATACCACCCTGGGGATGGTTGTAGGTGACATCCTGGCCCACATACACATGACCAAGGGCATAAAACTTGCACATAGCCTTGCACCAAGAAATCTTTCTCACCCTAATGTTTTCCAGGCCTGCTCACAGCTATACATTTAGACTAGGAGGGTCTCAGGAGACCCAAAGCCTGGCCAACTGCTTTTCAGGAAGCCCTTGAGAGATTTCTTACCAATCTATGTGTTGGACAAATCAAACTGTGCACACTCCAAATGTGCTGCACAGTATCCAGAAGGTATTCAATAAATGCAGCCTCTTCCTATCCATGCCATTTCCCCATATATTACATCTTGGCCTGCAACTACCGTGGGTGTCCTAGAATACTCTTAAAGATGGTCCAGGTTACAGGTTTCATCACACTCCTCCTAGGGTAATAGCCAGATTCTCTAAGCACTTACTTCTTGCCTGGCATGCTACTTTGGATACATCATCTATTTGAGTCCTTCCAATACCTCCATGAGTCAAATATTACCATTATTCCATTATAAACAAGGAAACTGAAGGGTAGAAGTTTATGTCACTAGTCTAATATATTACTCAGTGGTAAATTGTAGACATGAGATTTGAACATGGGCCTCTCTGTTCTCACAATCGGTGTCCCTAATCAGTTCATTATTCTGCTTCCCCAGGAAGTCTCTAGAACTTCTCTAGGCCTCAGCTCTGTGGTGGTCCTGTTGACCCCCAAAGCTTCCCTTGACCACAGGGTCTGGGGCTGTATGCAGTAGCAGTTTAGCCTCAGAGAAAGTCACAGGCCCATAGGTGACCAAGGATATCCAAAAGTATCCCTAGCATTCATGGCCCAACCTAGACTGGGGGTGTCAGTAGGGAAATGCTCTGATTTGTGCTCTGCTGCAGGTTTGGAAATTTAGCCCCATTGGCGTTTCATAAGACTAATGCCTGCACAAGAAATCTTCAAACTATAAAAGTTGGTATTAATATTTCCTAAACCCTGAAAAAGGGTATGGCTTTAAATTCTACCTGCTACTTCAAATGTTTTTTTTCTTTTAATTGCTACCAATTTAGATAGCTTCCATACTATTTCAAAGATCATAATAAGCTTAAGAGCCTAAGCAGAGAGAAAAAGAACTGCATGATGTCCCACACTTATCTAAATTATTGAACTTTGGCCCTATCCTCTTATCTTGTCTAAGAATGGCATGTGACTTTGTTGTATCCTATTTTAGAACAAAGCACTTATATTATATGTCTTTTCTGTATCTATGATCTGCTTTAGCTTTTATTTTTCTTTTCCAGAAAAAGAGTGTTCAGTTCTCATCTTCAAAGCAGAAAATCAGTCTCTTAACAATGAACAAATCATCCACAGGTGGAAAATGTAGACACTTTGAAATCCTGGAAAAGAAAGATAAAGATGCATCGTGCACAGTCAAGTAAATGTGAATCAGTTCATTCTAACTCATCTTTTTTCTCATTAGATATAAAACCCAGCCATGCAAAGTGTGCATTATTTTCTGCACTGCTCATTTTCTGTATACCAGATGAAAGGCCTTGAGAGAACTTGACCCTCCAAGGAAGAGGGTAGCTTCTCCAGAGGAAAGGCATTACTTGACCAGAATTTTCTTTAACAACAAAATAAGGAACCCTACCTTGCCAGGCAAAGCTGTTTAAAACATAATTAATAACAAATAATACTTTCTACAATCTGCAAGTCACTGCTTATCAAATTGCTAAAGGTTTATGTGTATGTGGTTAGTTTCTTCTTCTTCTTCTTTTTCAGTTTTAGTTTAGTTTTGTTTTGCAACAAGGAAAGGGGAAGGACCTCCTAGCCAACCCAACAGCGCAATTCTGGCAGCCTTGAGGTTCAAGTGGTTTATGGTCACTGACTTGAGCCAGGAAGCACAAAGTGCCTGTTGCTGCCGCTGTGCAACTTGGGTTTTTTATTTCTCCTGCAGCTTTAGCTTGGAAGAACTTGCACACCAGGGACTCCCTCCAGCTCTTCTTAGACCCAGGCCTGTGTGACTCTCTCAAGGTTCCACAATAACGAGTTATGGGACTGTGAGTGTCTGTGTGTTTTTATTTGATTCACACTTACTGGAAAGTGTATGTGAGATCGTGGGTGTGTGTGTCAAAGAGAGAGAGGAAGAGAAGGGGAGAGGCCACAGACTGATTCTGTGGCCTCAGCTGAAGTATCCCTTAGTCGGCAGCTTTTGTACACAGGTGGTCTTTCGTGGTGCACAGCTCTGAGATGAAGTCTCCCTGGAAAATCCTTATGACGGCTCCTGTATTCTTTCTTCTGCCCCTCCACTCCTTGGCCTCTTGGGCCTACGATGACCAACCTGGCACCAGTCACTCCAATGGCCACACCTGTGTAGGTATGTAAATAAATATGTTTATACTTTTATATGGATAGAACAATGGGGTGCAATACTTTGCTTACATAATAAATAGCCTATTTAATGGCATCAATAGTTGTAAGGTTCCAAGTGTGGCACCAATAACTTCACCAGCATAGAAAAACGTTGAGTCTCAGAGTAAGCTTTCGTACTATGTATGAGGGAGAACCCAAAAATAAGGGAATTATTTTTGGAGAGCAGGCCCCTTGTAGTATAGGCTTCCTCCACTAGGTAAATGTTTCAGGAAGCCATCGGCATCAGTGTACCAGCTAGCGTTGTTGTGAGAGACTGTATTTCACTTCAGTGAATTTTTTTTTGGGGGGGGATTCTTTCAACATGTTTGCCCATTTCATGATGGGTGATTTAGGAGTGCACCTATCCACACTGTGCTCAGTGCTCAGTAGTTTTTGACCAAAATTGTTATGACTCCCATGCCCCACCCTCCCTATTCACCTGATCTCATCCTGAGCAGCTTTTTTTTATTTCCCAAGATGAAAATAGCCCTCAGAGCGAAATGTTGTGCCAATGTAGAAGAGGTGAAACAAAAAACAGTAGAACACTAAAAGGCATCGAAATTGTTCAGTTCAAAAACTGTTTTGAGCAGTGGGCAAAGCATCTCGATAGGTGTATTACATCAAATGGAGAGAACTTTGAAGGTGACTGAAGTTTAAACATGTAAGAATAGATACACGATTTTTTATAAATAAATTCCAACTTTTTTGTGGCCCCCCCCCCGTGCATATAGAAGTGTGATAGGCAGTTGCCAGTTTGATTTAGGCATAAAAGTCATCTACCTCATTGGAGATTGGAATATAGGCAACTATCACAGGCTGAAATGCTTACTCCTTTTCATGGACTTTGACCTTAGACAGACATCTCTGAGTCTGCATTGCTGCCTACCTCCTCCCCTTCTTTCCTATCCCTTACTGGCTGTGAAACCTTGGACTACTTAACTCTCTCCATGTCTCTGTGTCCTTATTGGTGAATTGAGGCTGGTGATACCCACCTCAAAGGGATGCTGTGAGAATTGTGATCATGCGTGTACATTTGTGGTATTTGCACACAGTAAGGACTATACCATTTTAGCTTCCTTCTTTCTCACGGGGAGACCAGACTTGGTAGCCACTTGGAAACTTTGAACCCTGACTGAGATATGGCTCCTTGACTTCTCTTTTACTGAAGTGATTTATTTCCAAGTTGTTTGGGGTTTTGTTTGTTTTGTATCTAGAGCTTCCATAATAGAGATGGACATTTAGAACGGACAGTCCATGGAGCCACATAGAACACAGAATCTGAATAGCAGTTGCTCAATGTGCAGACCTCAAAATAGAACCCTGGCTTTAAAAGTCAGAAAAAGAACCCTAGAGTAAGTATGGTGGCCATATGCTACAAATAGAAAATTTGGGCACAGATTTGACACTTATGAATTATTTCTAGAGACATTATAGAAGAATATCTAAATTAGTCCTACTTCCCCAAAACCATTGACATCAGGTCATTTGAGGATACATCTCTAGTTACAAAGTCTTTTTTTTTAAGACCCAGATTCCTTGAAAATCTATTCTTCAAAGACCTAAAACGAGATTTGTGACCCCTTAGAGCCATGCCTGGGAGATCATCCTCACTTGGTATTCAGTTTCCTTAAATAATTATTTATCATCATGTCATTTTAATCAAAATAAAGCCCTAGAGCTGGTCAAATGGAAATACACTTGAGAAAAGCTCAAGTGAAATCAGTTTTACTTCTAGGCTCGTTGTAAATTAAATGTTTGAATTTAAGCAAGTTGTCTAAGATCTTTGGACCCTCACTTCAGCAAAATGGACAGGAAATACGCATTTCCCTTCCCTGTCCAATTCCCAATGGGGTCATAGGTAGTAGCTACAAGGAGGTGTTGAGGGGATTCCAGGATGGAGTTGCTCTGCTGTGTAGAAAATTACAATGATAACTATTTTGTTATACTATGACTTTATGGTTCAAGAATTGGTTCAGACCCTGGCTGGTGGTTCTTCCGCTCCATGTAGGAGTGACTGAGGTCACTAGGTGGTTTTCAGATGGCAGATTGATGGGTCTGGGACCACCCAAAACAGCTTCACTCCTCATTGGCACATTGGAGGCAAGGAATGGCTAGAAGTTTGGCTCATCACGAACATCCATCAGAGCAGCCACACATGGTAGTCTCGAGGTAGTAGGCCTTCTTACCTGGCCACTCAGGAATTCCAGAGAGAGAATCCAAAAGACAGGAACCAGAAGCTGCCAATCTCTCAAGGGTTGGGTCTGGAAATTGGCACAGCATTGCTTCTTTCATCTTCTATTGTTCAGAGCATTCACAGGTTCCTCTACCCAGACTCAAAGGAAGGGATAATATACCCTTCCTTTTGATAGTCTCAAGAAATTTGTGATCATCTCCATTATCCACAGGGATTCACTTTGCCACACAAAAAGAGCTCGTGGAGTCTGCTGCTGATTAGGGTTGAGGATGGTTTAGCACCCATTTCCCTAGTCGCTTACAACTTCTGGCTAGCTCTGCCTGCGTGACTCACCTGTTGTCATCATATCAGGTGGGTGCAAGAGTAGTCTGTTCATGAGAGTAACACTTACTGAGCATTGACTATGTGCTGAAGGTGGTCCAAACAGGTGTTTTACTGTTTGAAGTTGGCTCCTTGGGGAAACAGCCTCAGAAATATGTGTGCAGGGGAGTTTAGAGGAGTGTTCTTGGGGGAAAAAAAGACCAATGAGAGAGGAAGGGAAAAGAAAGAGAATGTGGACTGTGCTACAGCCACAAAAGAAGGTCTAGTCATTCCTACTGAGAATCCTGGAGCTAAAATGACTCTTCAGAGTTGTTCTGAAGTGGGTCCAAGTTTTGGACCTCTCCTACCCCTCACTGAACAGTCACTGGATACAAACTGACCCTGGGAAAGGTGCTATCACTTTGACTGAGACATCTCTCTCATGGGAGGCAATTCCTGGCAAGGAACTCATGATGCTGGCATGATTCCTCTAACCAACTGCCCTGCAGGTAGGGGAGCAAATGTCTCCTGATAGAGATCCTGAAGTGCCCTTACTGACCGGGCCAAATGTGGGAAGTATCTTAAGAAGTCATGAGGTAAGCTCACTCACAGCTGGTGGTGAGAGGAAGAACTTCATGGAGGAGGGGAGAGAAGAGAAGGCATTACTGACAGGCCTACATTTCTTGTTGACATTCTAACAACTTTCTGATCAAACGCAGGATTATACACCTTCAAGCCCACCAGTAGAAAGGCATTCCCCAAACATTCCCATGCATTCACTCCTCACGTGGTCGCTGAATGACAACCATAAGCCAGTCTCTGCACTCTAAGCCAGTGATACCAAGATGAAGAATTTTTTAAATGCCTGTCTTTAGAAAATTCACTGTTCAGTTTAGAAGAAAACGAGAATCTGGAGCCTTTTAAAGATTATGGTCCTGTAAAATAAATGATGAACTGGGCACTTAGTGCACTCGATAGCACCCTTCTCTGGGCCCTGTAAATCAGTGTCAGTGGTAGAGCTGGCAGAGTGCCATGGAGCACAGGGCAAAGGTGAGCAGCTTGGGAGCAGACAGCTGCTGGCCCTGCCTTAAAGTCACCAGAGAAAGGTGAAACGACAACCTGGGTGGAAGAGAAAAGAGTGTGTTAAAATTTTAAAATTTTAGATATGTTTCTACCAGATGAGCAGGTGGCTCACACCTGTAATCCCAGGGATTTGGGAGGTCAAGGCTGTAGGATCGCTTGAGGGCAGGAATTTGAGACCAGCCTGGGTGATACAGTGAGACTGTCTTCACACACACACAAAAAAAACTTTATAAATTAAGCCGAGCATGGTGGCTCATGCCTATAGTCCCAGCACTTTGGGAGGCCAAGGAGGGAGGTTGGCTTGAGCCCAGGAGTTTGAGACCAACCTAGGCAACATAGCAAGACTCTATCTCTACAAAAAAAAAAAAAAGCCAGATGTGATGGCATGTACCTGTCATCCCAGCTACTCGGGAGACTAAAGCAGAAAGATCACCTGAGCCCAGGAGGTCAAGGCTGCGGTGAGCCGTGATTGTGCCACTGTACTCCAGCCTGGGTGACAAAGTGAAAGTCTGACAAAGAAAGGAAGGAAGGAAGGAAGGAAGGAAGGAAGGAAGGAAGGAAGGAAGGAAGGAAGGAAGGAAGGAAGGAAGGGGAGAGAGAGGACGAGAGAGAGGAAGAGAGAAAGAGAGAGTGGAAGAGAGAAAGAGAGAGCGGAAGAGAGAAAGAGAGGGAAAGGAAGACAAGGGAAGGGGAAGGGAAAGGGAAGAAAAAAGTTTCTACCAAATCTTGCCAGTGAAAGAAAAAGGAAGCTTAGATTACTTCAAAGATTCCATTGCAGGCACCTCCTTCCCAAGAAGCTTTGAAAACTTTGCTGAGCAAAAGGTGATTAGGCAGTTGCATTTCTGATCATACCAATTGAACAAGAACGGTTCATACTCATTAGTTGCCAGCTATCTTTAACTGCTATTTCAATATAAAGTCTTAACCTTGATCATAAAATTATGCCCTTGCCTTATTATAAGACCATAATAAAACAAAATATTTTTACCACCTTCCCAACACGTGGAGTAGTTCTTTTTCATTTTTCAATGAGTTCATTGGGTTTCATCCATTTTATGAAGATGAGTATTTAGAACTCATATTTGTTTTGTACTCATAAAGTTTGTTTTGCAGCTGGTCTATAGCCATCCTTATGGATCCCTGACACTTCTCCATGGGGGAGTTGCCTTCCATCTTTTCTGTGAATTGAATCTGGACTAACAGGAGTGATACCTGGAGAGAGTAACCACATCCAAGTGTTCTTCAGTCATAGAAATAACATTCTTAAGTTATTTATTATAATAATTGTTAACATTTATTGGTCACCTGCTTTGCGATAAACCATTTTCCAAAAGCTTACGTGTCTTAGCTCATTTCATCATTGCAGTGACCTTATGGAGCATGTTTTA